ATTATGTACCGTTCTTTCACAATAAATGCCCAATTTTTGATAAAAAACGGCGGAAACTTATTTATACTCCTAATACTAATAGTTAAATAATTTATGTGATCTGGTTAGGCATATCTACGAACGTGACTAATTGTACAGAATGGGGCTTTTAATGCCCTGTTTTATGTTTCTTGCTGTAATCATAATTATGCTCGCTCCGAGAATGTTGTCATTCACATTTTTTTAGTAAACAGATATCGCAATTCACCTTTTCCATTGTCATAAAAACACACGCTTCTAAACACTGTCCGAACTTTCTGTACAGTAAAAGTGTCTTTTCATAACACGAGGCCGAAAACGACCATTTTCGGCGCCTATAAAGTGGACCGAAATAGTACTTTGTGTACCAAGGGCCGAAATACGTGCGTACGAAATTAAGGATTTCAAAGACACAATAGTACTTTTCATAACACGAGGCCGAAAACGACCATTTTCGTATTTTTAATGAGAAGCGTATAAACGCGATGGAAGCATCAAACGTGTTACAGTTCGGTACTTGAATATTTACGAGCCATTGATAGCGTATACAACGTATCATGCATGACAATACAAAAAACATTAAAAGCATTTTTTGTTATGTTTATTTATGTTTGTCACGTTAAAACTATGTTAGAAATTTGACATTTACCTTATATCTTATCTAGGTAGCTGCGTATTAATCGAGAAAGAATGTTATTACTCATTTTTCAAGTTAAGTAAGGTCAAGATTTAATTGTGTTTCCACTTTCCGGTTTTACTATCTCTTATTTCCCACGTTGATCATCAGATTAAGAAACCTGTACGATGTACTCGAATGTACACTATCTGTAAGTTAGTCTACTCAATGCGAAATCGACTTCCGGCGGTCATAAGAGCAAAAGGCAGTTCAACTTCGTATTAAAACTTTGAATTATTCAATTTGAATCTCAATTAAATGTATCGTTCGAATACTTTTGTGACCCCTATTTATGATAAATCTGTTACATATAAGAACTGTACATGTCGTTGAAGTATTTTCAAATTTTACTTGTGGTACCTTAAGAATTATCGATATCGATATCGTATGTGCCAAATTATTTCAAATACTTTAGTATATAC